TGTTTTATCCTAGAATGCAACTCAGCTCTACCCATCCTAAAATTCCACAGGGGCTTAACACAGGATTTTAATATTCCATTGCGAACGCTTACTCTTTAAACTATGAAGTCGCTAGTCAATGGTTTACATTTCTAACTTCAGTCAATTTGTGATATTTCGTAACCGTCTTCTTATGCCATCGGTGTTTATCTACCTCACACATTAGTGGAGTTCATCGATGTCGGATATGAAGCAGTTAATCACCGTTACATTGGAAGATGGTTGCAAAACATCACGGATTAATTAAAGCTAAAAATGTAATTCATTAGATAGCAACTCAGTAAATTAAATGTTGAGTGTCCACCACAATATATGAAGAATCTGGATCCTATCCTCTGTGTGATTGTAAATGCTCATCACTAAGGAGAAGTCTCATACTATACCGAAATCGCTGTCTTATTTAATTATTTTATTTTAACACATAGATATTGGTACAACGAGGCACTAAATACATATGCGCCACACAAATCTCATTTGATATGTGTGAGGGCTGTGACACTGCCCGGGTGCCCAAACCGAAGCAGGTGGTTTTCTTAGGGGCCACACCCGGAGCCTTCGACCTGAAGGTCTGACCCACAAGGCAGTGGAGCAACGTAAGGAGATGCATTCCCATGGAAGCCGGTGATCAACGATTGGTTCATACGCCATTTTTTTTGCTTCAGGATACTGCAGCCAGCCCATGTTCACCATTGGTTTGGAATCAGGGTTTTCCAACTCCCCTAGGTGGACTGTTCATGTCCACCAGCCCGGTTAAAGCGCCGAACATTCGCATTTCGTCCTCTCAATTTTGTAAGCAACACCGTGGTGCGAGAAGGGAGTGAGTAGGACTTCCCTGGCAGAGGCTATATACGCGTGGCCATGTGAGAGCATTTCGTGAAGGACAGCGAACTCTCCCCACTCTCGGCCTTACCAGGGCATTTGGGGGCTGTCTATTTATTCCTGATTGTCAATTGCGGGCTAAGTAAGCCCAGTTCATGATGAAAATTGGGAAATCCAATTTATAGTGAACTTTGAATATCGGTGAATTGTTTCTGCATTATAAAATTGTATTGGTTTACTTTAAATAATCATAAAACTGGTTGGTACAAATATATATTGAATTTTGAAACCTTAAAATAGCTTAATAATATTACAACCTTGTTCAAGTAGGTCATGTGAATGAATAACCGTGAAAGAAATACTGACTGCTTATTACGTAATGTTAGAAACAACTGTAATATGGTCAATATTGTTTTCGTTTGTCTGAAGTATTAAGATTATTTAGTGTACATAGATCTCATCATAAAGAAAGTAAGGAGAGTAGACACATTTCATTTAACTGTTTAAGTGTACTGCAATATGTGTTCCTCATTACATTTTCATCCTCTTCAAACTATTACACAAATGAATGAGTTCAAATAGATTGTAAAAAAAAACTAATAAAACTGTGTAAGTTAGTGAATGAAGCACTTAGCTTTCTATTAATAAGTTTAAGAGTTCAGTTTTTGGCCACCCAGACTGTTGCGATACCAAGACCCCACACAAAAAATGTGTCTACAAACTCAATGTACACAAAACTCTGTTTGATAAATGATTTAGTTATATTATTTATCATTACTATAATAAATTTCGTTTAATCTCTCTGTGTGTGTGTTCGTATTCTAACGGTTGTTTTATTTGTATTCACAATAATCTGATTTGCATTTTTTTCATAAGACTCCTTTCACTATTCATATGTAATAAGTAGTATGTTTCAACGATATATATGGATTGTAGCTGCTGAATTCGTAAAAAAAACTTCGAGAGGATCTCTATTCTAGTAACAGTTCTTGGTAGGTACACAATAGAAAATCGTTATGCTTTTCATGTTACCTACTCTTGTTGGCTAAAAAACTTTGTTTGATATAGTAAAATAATGCGGTATATATGTTTGATTCTAAATAACCTGATAGGTCTGAGGGTCCCTTCTCTATCTCGACACGCTCTCAAATGGCCGTACATTTATAGCCTGTCCCAGCGTTGTCCTAGTCTGTATCTCCTCGTAGCGGTGGTGTTGTTTACAAAAGTGATATGTAAAAAAGCGAACGCACATCTACATTCTAAACAATTCCAATAGAAAATAACCTAATCTATTGTGTATATTTTCACAGTGGAAACGAAATTATGCATCCACAACTCTTTTCTTTATGTATATTGTTTTCGACTGTTTTCCTTTTTACTACTATACTTACTAACAACAGATTCTGGAAATGTTAACTATGAGATGATAACCTTTTCATTACTTACTTTTTCTGGTTAGCGTTTTTTAGCGAGTCATTTTGCTACGGGATGGCGTCGCTAACCCCATGCCTAACCCTCCCTTTGTACGGGCTTGGGAATTGCAGTAGCCCCAGAGGGGCTCCAGGCGGAATTGATAATCTTTTCATGCTTAATCTAATGTTTTTTTCATGTTTTGTTCGATTTATAATTGAATACAGTAAAGTTTGTTCTGTCTACAATTAAGGGCACCATTTATCTATATTAGATATAGACGAATTATTTTGAGAAAGCTAGTCCTTTCTGAAATTACTCTACGGCGAATGATTATGTATGCTTTATATATTTAATTAAATACTTAGTTGTATGGTGTTTAATGCATTGCTCTAATTGTAAACTTTCATTTAATTCATTAACTGTTCATATGTATTTGATCATTTGCAAATTATTGTTAATTAATCAATTATACATCTATTACTCAGTTTCATATCAATTCGGGCATAGTCATGTGCACATTATAAGTTCTCTTATGTTGTACTTCTTAGTTGAGTAATTAATTCACCTAATCCTATAGGCTTTCGAAGCATTAATAACAACAGCCATACAATAATTAAATATATATATGTCCCATACTTTACGTTGATTATAATCAACTGACTTATAATAATCGAAAATTAATCAGTTGACTGTTGTAATTTGATAATTGGTTATTGAGAATAGAGGAAGTTGCATAGATCAGTAGACGTTGGATGATCCAAGTATTGTTGGTGATTTATTTATTTATTCATTTAAACACATAAACATTGGCACATGGAGGCACCAAATAGATATGCGCCACATAAATCATTCGGTTTTTGTGAGGGCTGGAATACTGCCTGAGCATGCAAACCGAAGCAGGTGATTTTCTTAGGGGGCCACTCCACGCGCCCTTGACCTGAAAGTCTAATCTACAAGACAGGAAAAACGTTAGGAGATGCGATCCCATGGTAGCCGGTGACCAACATTAGCTTTATACGCCTTTGGTTCCTTTGGGATCCTGTAGCCTGTGTGCACCATTGGTTTGGGATGACGGTTTTCGAACTCCCCTAAGTGGATCCTCCATGTCCATCAACCGGGTCAAAGCTCCAGGCATTCGCATTCCGTCCTCTGATTTTTGTAGAGAACACCTCCCCTTTGCAATAATATGCTTCAATGTCAAGCTAATTAATTAAAGAAATTTAATAATCCATAATTGTGACTTTTAGTAGACATTGATGGTATCTAAGAAAAACTACTCGAAACTCAGAATTATTGGTTTTCATTTAAATGATATCGAAAACTTGCGAATTACAACAACAACTGCTACTTCTCTTACCATTACTACAACGTTTTGATACCAATGACTGGATTTCAACAAATTAATCATTCTATCATTGAAATGCAACATCTTTCTATAAGAATGTGTATATTGTATTAGAGTGTATTTCCTAATTTTTAACAGCCACTACATTCACCAAGAATAAACTATCTTCATATTGTGAAAACACTTCCCTACTCTAATCTTACTAATATAACTATTAGGGTAATCACAGTAACTGTTAGTGATTTTTTTTATCTCATACATTTCTTCACACGATCTTTGACTTTTTCTAATCAGTTCTCATTACTTTTAATCTGCTAATTTTCTTTGTTCTATTGGATCACACTTTAAATACCATCTATACTGAGTTATTCGGTTTGAATATCAAATATTTCATATATATATCATCTTTTTTCTATGTTAATGCCTATCTCAATAGTTGAAGTCATGAGTCACTTGAAGCTAGACCACCACGGAAACCTGGAAGCACTTAAAGTTAGACATTAACACCATTGGATGCCCGTTCAGTGGTCTAATTGTTAGGCGCTTGCGCACAAGACTGGTAAATCCTGGGTTCGAGTCCCGCGAGGGGCGGGATACCATGATGGTCTAGCTTCAATTGACTCATGATTCCAACTAGTGAAATTTCTAAAAATCTCCACAAAACCCCTTCTAATAATGTCTATTTGTTAAAGTGTATTATATTCTAGTTGCCATTATCGATTTGCACAATAATATTTGTTTGTATTAGAATAATTCAATTGTTCTTTAATTTACAAGTATCCTACACATGTACCGAATCTCAAATGTCAAGATTGGTTTATTTTGTTTGTTTTTTTTTGCTTTCACGAAACAGTAACAACTAACATTACAAACTGGAGTGAATTCATTTGATTTCATGTGCAATAAAAGCCTTTCATTTACAAGCAATGATTTTTATAATTAAATTATTTATTTTACAAATGTAACATGGTGCGTAACGCATAGAAAAAGGAGTTATGTAGGAAAAAATAAATTATACCTATTCCCCATTATTTATATACATCTAAGTATTCCATTTTATAGAATGAATCATTAATTGGTCTTAGTTAGACCACTAGTAAAACCAGGAAGCATTGAACAGTTATTGTTTCCCACTATGAAACTCTTCTGCAATACGTATCCACCAAAATTCTTGGTTTGACCCCCTATTGTTGTTTTGTGGATGCAAACTGTTAAGAAATCCCATATTACTATGACTAAACAGTTTTCTAGTGGTCCTAATATTCAATGATGGATCTAGTTAAAATAAGTCTGTGATTTAACAATCTCAACGAAATCTCATATACTGATAATATCCCATTTTAATATGTTAATTGTCTATGTTAGTGTTTTTATATTGTTATAGTTACATCAGTGCACTTGCCGATCGTGTTACTGTTATATTCAGTACTGTATTCAAAGAATCGGATGATCTAATTATTGCTAAAGTATTTTTACAGGTAAATATAAATTTTGTTTTTCAATGATTATCATTATTATTATATGATTGTATGTCAGATGAAATTTCTCCAATCTATCGACTAATCCCTCATCATTTGATCATGTGAAAATATCAGATCAGATTATCATGATCTGTAATTTGTATGCTGATTTTTTCTCTCGTACTTCTAATATGATAGTATTTGTTTTTTGCAAAGAAATCACTAATTACTTACAATGATCCGTTGTTAAAATTGTCATTAAACTCATTTCTGGTGACCACGAGATGATAGCAACCGATGGTTAGAGACCCTGAATGACATGGCTCAAAATCGTTTGCAATGGTGCAGGTGCATCCACTCTTTGTGTTCTCCCAAATTTTGATCTCCTTATTCCTCCTCGTCTCTTTTTTTTCTCCTCTCAAATTTATTTCACTGTATTATACTCTTTAAATAACATCTCCAAACACTAATCTTCCCGATTACTGCTTATACTCTTATTACCTCTACCACTACGGGATTTGAATCGACCACTGCATCTCTGTGCTAATGTGGTGTGGCAACTCGAACTGATGTACGTACGTACGAAGTTCTATTTTGTTACTGACTGACTGACACTTTGTGATTTGGAAACCGAATACAATAAGACAAAAGATCCAGAACATAAATATGCACTATTCCCATTAATAAAACTTACTAACCCAAGTTCTAGACCAATGAGAGGATAATATCTAGTTATTCACAATGAATGTTGATGTGTTCTTAAAATTCAGATACTGAGGATATAAATTTCAGAAGTTGGGTTTAAATTTACACACCAATTGTTTGAAAATTTCAAATGGTGTTCTGTATTAATCCAGATTGAATGTTTGGGAAATATTATTATACTTCTCAACATTCAATCATGCACCTGAATAACCAAATATAAATTCATGTTTTCTGATTCGAACTGTAATTTGTGTAAGTATGTGGGCACGTGAAACGATTAGTGGTACTATCGAGTTTTGTCCAGATCAAACCATGTAAGTCAGTGTTGAAGTCTGCAATCTAATAGTTGGGAGTTGAGCCGATAGTGTATCCACTATTCTATCCGTCTAGTTTATGAAACGAGATCGAAATTTATTATGAATAAAAGATCATTCGGTTTAATGTAGTTAGAATGTTTATATACATATTATATGTGTATGTTCAGAGTTGCCTAATCAATCCATCGAGATATAAGTTGGTTATATCCAAATTAGTGATAAGATTCTAGTTCATGTAATCATCATCTTGATGTTGGGTAATTCACACATAATGTTACTGAACTATGTGATTCATTTACCATTATATATAGACTAGTTAGTTAGATTCTGAAACTTGATTTAATTGAATGTAACCACATGATCATTTATAGACAAGATCAAAGTGTTGAATTGATAGGACAACCTTATCAGACTTTCATTATCGAGGAATAATGGAATGGAGTTGAAAATATCATTTTCTCCAGTTGTTTCGACATAGAATGAAAATTTCAGTCTATCTAGTCACTTATAAATAAAATATAACTTCATGATCCATTGTTCTAAATTATCATCACTTCATATGAACATAGAAAAAAGAAAACTAACAAGATGAGAAATAAAAATTGAAATAATGATAACAGCATTGTAGTGAATACTACTCTCAAAACTGTTTATAAATAGTGTATAGAGCGGTATGTGGTGTCAAAATTGCAAAAGTTGTCAGACAGAGTAAAGAATTTCAAGGCATCGAAAGCATGACGTCGGTAGAACACTTGGAGAGTGGGTTGGTGTCTGACGAAATCTCAGCTCGGATTCGAAAAGCTCGCTTGGCTTTTGCCAACTTACGTCACCTATGGCGAAGGCGAGATATCCGTCTATCAATAAAAAGATGAGTATACTGCTCGGCAGTCCGTTCTGTTTTAATTAACGTCGGCGAAACATGGTCATTAAGAGTAGAAGATACTCGTTAGCTACTAGTATTTGATCACAGATGCCTTAGAAATATTCCTGGTGTCTGCTGGGATCACCGGGTAAGTAATAATGAGGTGACATGGCTCAGAATTGATCACAATGGCGTAGGTGTATACACTCTCTGTCTTCCCTTAAACTAAGAGATTAAAATTGCTTCATATCTTTCTTTCTATGAACTAATTCTTTCTTCCTGTACTATATCCTTATTGCAATCTTTCTTCTATATATTACCACCTCTGCATTAACTACTTTCATGAATCTGGTATCCATCTTGTTGTATTAATGAGGTATGGCAACTTGGACCGATTCATATATGTGCCTGGTCCTACGTTGTAACTGACTGAGAACACTTGGGGACCAAAGGAGAAGACATTTCAGATGAAAAAATACACCTAAAGATGCATATGGACGATTGTAAGCTATGTCAACGTATAATGTAAATAATTTGTTACTTGTGGCAATAGATATACATTCCTCCTGCCTGTTGTATAGTGTCAATCGTTTAATAGAAATATTTTTGCTTCATTGTGACCACTTTTCAGCTATCACTCAAGATTTATACTCAGATTATGATTATATAGCGGATCCAAACCAAAAAATTCTGCAACATCTTACACGGTTCAATTTTATATTCATTTACTTTATGGGGCATCTTTAAATGCACACTACACTTATATTACTACATATTTACAATATGATGACGAATGAAGCTATGAGCTAACGCTTTTTATTGAAGTTTTCATTATGAACTAGTCTTTTGCTAGATAACCATTAACAATCAAAAAGCACCAACACAATTATTTTGTCCGTGTATACGACTTCTCAACACTGTGCCATCTATCTACCCTCTTAACTATGTGTACATAATAGATGAACTGGAGAATTGTTTTCTCTCAAAAGTTCACTAATTACATCTAATTGTAATTAATCATTCACATGTGTATGATTTTAAAAGAATTAACTAGGTCACAAACAAATTAGTATTAACTATATTATACACTACTCAGTTTACTTATATATATGGGGAATATTTCAATATATATCTATTCCCCTTTATAAAGTTGTCTATCTACATAGAAATAGATAGATAGATACAAGTACTTGTTTGTTCAATCTTATATCCTACCAATTCGTGAATCATAATGTGTTTTCTTTTCAATAACTTAGTTTCTCTTCATCAAATCAAGGTCTCAACAGGTTTTTGTACAACTTTCAGGTTTTTCTAGATTTCTCATATCTCTGTATATGTATCTATGTCTGTAGATGTATAACAAATTAATTTAATATTGTCAATGATGATTGATTGGTAATTTACATGGTTCATATATCCCTTAAATTGAAAACAATCATACACAATGATAGTAGTATATACATATACAATAAGGCAAAATATACATATGTTTATCATATTACACATTTGTAACAATGGTATTGAATACTATTTCATAGTTCATGAAAACAGTTGTTTTAAATTACAATATAAACCAGAGTATGTTTTATTCATCAATCATGAAAATCTGTATTTAAATATACATAAACATACACTATTAAGTTATATTGAAGTAAAGACTCAATCATCCATAATCAACATAAAACCTGGTACATATGTTCCTTGATCCAATTTGTCATGTTGTATCAATATACTAAGAAGAAGTGAAGATGGAATAGTAACATAGTTTAGATAATTTAGTAGCAAGGATAATAAGATAGACTAAACATTGAAACTCAAGAACTATGACAAGACAAGGAGTGGATACATCTTTGCTAGTATGATCAACGTCTCCAACTATTGATTATGACTATCGCTCGATGTTATAATTCTCTCTTACGATTATAACCCAGCTATTCCTTTTGCTTAGTATTCTTGGACATCAATTCACTCGAAAAGTCCCCAAATCAGAACACGGTTGAACAGGAAATAGATTGTATTGTAAATAACAAGATTAGATGGGAAGTAAGAAGCACAATAGGAAAAACGTTAGTATATTTATAGTTTTTACATGAGAAGATTTCTAGAGTATTCTCCAAGTATCGACTAGCGCTGATTGGATAAGAATTAGCCAATCAGCTTGCGCCAACGCTAGTGTGCATTGAGCATGATTTAATCCAATCTATGTCCCACTAACACTCGGTCATCAACCAGGCAATGCGCATCGATCAACATAACTCAGACCATTAATCATTGACTTTATGGACTGATACCAAGTCTTGAATTTGGTCTTTTCTAGCTTTCTTCTGACTTTTATACGATAACTAAAGACACGTAGCTACCTGGTTGAAGTCCGTGTGATTATCACAACTAATAATTAGAGAATTTAGGTGAAATGACTCCGAATTGTTCAAAACTTCCCAGGTGTATTTAATTCATGATTCACGAAATCCTACACCTTTTCTTTTAGTTCTATATCTAATTTTCTCTAACAGTACTACTTCTTATACTTTATTATTAGTTTTGAAATCGTTTTATATGCCTGTGTTGGTATGTGTTGTGGCAACTTGAACCAAGGAAATGTGTCACGTTTTATGTTACGTGTGACCGAGTAAATAGAACTAGTTCTATATTTATTCTCTTTATCACAAAATAGCTGAACTGATTGTTTTGATGTTAACTTTGGACTTCTGAGAAAACACGACCTTCAACTTTGGTGGTAATTTTATTATTTTAGGGTTATAATCCAGTGTTTTTTTATTTTCTTTGCTTCTGCTAATAACCTATTCAAAGTGAGGATCACTCAATACTTTTGGTGCTTGGCATTTGTTTCACTCGAAAAAGTTGCGTCAAATTAGACTATTAAGTGCTGACTAACTAACCTACGTGAAGGCTCACTACTTCCGACTTCGTACGGAATATTTGGTAACCAACACTCAGATAAAACAGCTATATAGCATCCTCTAATTTCGGATCATCAGTTAAGGCGGTTGATACGGATATTACGTCTATCCAACCATTTACATCAATCTACGAAGCTTTTGACTGTGTCTGAGATATGGAGATAGGTATATGCGCGGTAACCCTGGTCAGTGTGTGGAGATAATAGCTGACATGCTTAAAAACCAGTCACAAGAAGCGAGGTGTAACTGACTAGTTTTTCAGTTGACTTAAGTCCATGATTAAAACTCGTTCCAATATTTCAGTAATAATAGATTTATTTTGAACAAAATTGAGTTACAGCAGCAGATAAAGAATCATTTTATTGATATAATAATCAATTATCATTTTGTAACCAATGTCGATTATATTGTTAACTAAAATGTCTAAGCTTTTGTTAATATGTGAATGTCGAACTATTCACCAAGTGTCTTATTTTCTTGTCGATTTAGGAATTAACTGAAGTCCGACGACGTTTTGATCGAGCGCCTCAAGTTCTATATTCTCAGTCAGTACCTCCTAGTGAATTAGTTGGAACAGATGCAGCTGTCGGTGATAATGTGGCGTATATCACATTTGGTAAGTTAGTTGGACGTGGATATATATTGGTCCACCATTCTACAACTTCTCACTCTGACTTGCCCTAAAGTCTACAAACCAGTAACTAGCCTCCAATTTTTATATATTTCAGACAGATATAGTTTATATACAAGCAGACTAGACCGCATCACACAATAGCATAAATAACAATCATACATGATCAAACCGAAAAGTGGCTGTAAGTAGTAGGGAAGACTGTAATGAACAATAGTAAATCGTATAATAGTAGTTAATGGGTCAGATGAAAGCTTATGATAATAATAATTATTATTATTATGCCATAAAATGTATATATATAATATTAGTCCTGGAAGTTAACATAGCTTTAACTGCCGTATTGGTATAACAATACGTCCACACATATGCATGTACAAAAAGTGCATAAGATTAACACGTGATTACTTGGCAAGGATAAATACAAGTGTACAGAATATATTCATGTAGGTGTCATAAATAGGAATCTATACAAGTTACTACATATTGTTTCCAAATATTTACAGTAAATTACTACAATTTATCTCTGTTATCAGATGAAGATTTAATGGTCTCCTTAGGTGATTTCTAGCCTAGCTAATCTATGTAGCATTCCTTTCAAGTATTTAATATCTTGGGTTCGAAATCCTTAATCCACTTGATTTGATTTAAGTAGAAAGATAGTATTTTCAGCTTTAAAAGTTTAACAAATCTTTAATGAATTTAAAATAGTAATCATTTAAGTGTTATCTTCTCATTCGTTCTCTATTCATTGCTCTCTTTTTTTTGCAGTTCTATTTCCTCGACATCTTACACCACAAGCATGTTCACGTACTATCAATCTTATTCATATATTACGCAATTATTTACATTATCATATAAAATGTTCCAAAGGTTATATTCATCGAAGAATGCGTGCTAAAACATTTGAATTTATTAAAATTTTAAATCGTGCTAGACCACAATTTTATTGTTTAAATCCTGTTATACAAACTGGTACTTCTATAATGACAACAACAACATCAATGAAGTCAATTTCTTCAAATTCATTTGTCACAGAGTATAGCATAACAAACGGTGAAAATGGTATAGATGATCATAATCATAGTAATGGTATTGATGATGATAATAATAATAATAGTAATGGTAGTAATAATGCAAGTATGCAGACAAATCGAAAAAGTATAATGTCAACAATGAAAGATACTGGATCAATGTCACAACAACATCAGCATTTATCAACACCATCAGTTCAACAAACATCATCATCGTCCTCGTATACAACTACTCTTCCTCAATCTTCAGATTTCATGCTCAATAATGGTTATATATAAAGTTTTTTTTTGAAAAATAAAAGATGTATTTTAAATTTGTTTCCCCATTCATTTTGTTTGGATATATGTGTGTGTCTGTTCCTTCATTTTTTTTTTACTTGTGCCAAACTATCTGAATACTAAGTAATATGTATACTGGTTATTCATTATAGAACCAACCAACCAACTAAAAATAACTTCCTAATATCAATTTATTAATAATGGTATCATATGCATAGAAAGAAAAGAACAGAGTTATTTCATCTCTTTCTCTCCTCACCCTCTCTCTCTCTCTCTCTGTGTGTGTGTGTGTGTGTTTCTATGGCTTAGTTAGATCAAGTTTCTTCCATAAGCCATCATTATCATCGTCTGTTTTTTTCCTTCTGATTGTGCATATGTGATAGGTAATGTAATTGTGAATAGTTTCATTTTGAAATAATAACTTGATAAGGAAGAGAGACCTGTGATTTTTATCTTAGTTACAACTTCATTTTTTACACTTGGATATATATGTGTGTGTGTGTATGCCTAGATTGATGATGCATGTAACTAATCTAAGATATACATATATATATGTATATACTTATGTATTTGAAAAATTCTTTCTTCATCCACTTGTTCATAAACCGTATCTTCTGCATGGTATCATTTTTCATGCTACATTATTACCGGTTTCTTCTTATTTATCTTTAGGGTTTACTTTATTGTAATTTGTTTATCCATCGTCGTTGTTGTCATCGTCGTTGTTGTTCTTGTTGTTGCTATGTTTTCTTTCTTTTTTTTAAAAAGAAATAAATCGAAATACAAATGTTTTGTTTTTGTTTTTCTTTATTCTATGCTTATTTACTTTTGAAATGTATTCATTTTCTTTATCTAATTGTTAACAGACCTTTGTTTATTTCTTGTTAATAAAAGACCACAATGAACATTGATAATTGTGATTATCAAGAAATGAATATGTATCAATGTTGTACTTTATCTGTGGATGCATTTGTTTCTCCTTCTTCTTCTTCTTCTTCTTCATCTTGATTGTTGTCTTCCTGTTTCTACAATTGGTTCTTATTCTTATTATTATTATCTTGTAAAAGGTGTAGGTGATTGTTTCGTAGTGTGACAGAATTTCCCTACAATCTCCTATAACAAATCAATTGAATCTTTGTAATATTGAATAGTATAGTATAGTATAGTATAAGGCATTTATTCATGTTATTGTAAACATATACATTATTTACTATTATCAATGATGATATTACTTTATAATGATTATTAAATAAATGATAATAAATTCATATTCATCTCCTATTGAATTGTTTATCATTGTTATATAATTGGATCAGTGATTTATTAAGTTTCAACTAGAAGAAAAAATGATGTAACTTTACGTTCGATTAGTTATCATGTAATTTATTCACTCTTGTACTGTACTAAACATTCATGAAGTCACTGACAAGTGCACTAAGCCATGTTGCTAAGTGTAGACTACCTGGTTTGGATCCGCAAGACGATAGGAACCGATGGTTAGAGATCTTGAATGACATGGCTCAAAATCGTTTGCAATGGCGTAGGTACATCCACTCTTTATGTCCTCTTGAATTCTCTTTTCGAATCTATTTCACTGGATTATACTCCTTAAATAACATCTTCAAACCCTAATGTTTCCGATTACTGCTTATACTCTTACTACCTCTACCACTATGGGATTTGAATCGACAACTGCATCTCTGTGCTAATGTGATATGGCAACTCTAACTGATGTACGTATATAGCAAATTCTACGTTGTTATTGAATGACTGTACTAAACCAATGACGTTCGATCGGTAAGAGCAGCCTAGCGTCTTTATTGGTCCTTTTTCCTACTAGGCCCTTCCGATTGAGTCTAGAGCGTCAATAACAGCTTCCATTATGCGAATCGTTTATTTCAAACATTCTTGGTTTATATATCAGCCAAACAAACCGCATCGCACTATAAAATAGGAAATAAGATTTATACACAATTAAGCCAAAAAAAGGCTGTGAACGTGGGAGGCGATAATCAAATAACAGTATAACTTAACAACAGTAAGTCGTACATTAATAATCCATAGTCAAAATGAAGCTCATAATATAAGGGGAATATAGATATATATAATCTAGTTACTGAATATTTATATCATAAGAATATATAAATAATATTAGTCCATTAATAGGTCTCAGACGTTACTCGTAATTTAATCTTCACTAGGATATAACAAATAAAAAACTGTAATTTGTACATAACTAAACTAGTTATGACATAAAACTGATCTTACAATTACCATCCTCAGGACAACTCTGTCCTAGACTTCCTCTTCTGGTTGTTGTCAAATGCTATTCATTCGTTTGATTTCCCCCTCCAATTCTTGGCACAATGTGTTCTTTAATCTGGGTTTTTATTTTCTGTGGAATGGAGTTGTTAACACTATACCTTTCTTTATTCAGCCTTGGGATAGGAAGTAACCCTAGAAGGGTTACAGGCGAAGTGATGATATACAACGGTCATTTTTGACCAGTAAATTCACTATCAACAGTTAATGTATTCAAATGAAAGTTTATAATTACTTCAACATAGAGAATAAAAAAATAGATATAATTATTTATCATGAGATGCTTCTTAAAGTTCCTTTATAATCTTCCCTCCTGTCGCTGTGCCTGTCTGGCGACTTCGAAAGATACCCATCCATTTAATCTAAATTGACTATATCTGTTCATTATGTATTCATTACATGTTATAATTATTAGTTTAATTATTTTTATTATCTATTTTAACGCATAGATATTGGTACAAGGAGGTACCAAATACATATGCGCCACACAGATCTCATTTGATATGTGTGAGGGCAGTGACACTGCCCGGGTGTCCAAACCGAAGCAGGTGGTCTTATTAGGGGGCCACACCCGGAGCCTTCAACCTGAAGGTCGGATCCACAAGGCAGTGGAGCAACGTAATGAGATGCGTTCCCGCGGTAGCCGTTAACCAACGATTGGTTCATACGCCATTTGTTTCTTCAGGATACTGGAGCCAGCCCATGTTCACCATTGGTTTCGAATGAGGGTTTTCCAACTCCCCTAGGTGGACTCTCCCCACTCTCGGCCGTACCAAGGCATTTGTAGTGAACGAGGACTAAGGTAGGGAGAATCAGTTTATTGTTTAGTGCAAAATTACAATGTCCTCGTAATTTTAGAAAACCATACATTAAATACTTCTTTTGCACACCTTCCATCAGTTGTCTATTAAAGAATTCATCGTTCCTACATTCCTGTTTTTATTACCATTACTCTCTGTTTTCTTCAATTCGATCTTCTCAATCTTCTGCTACCAGACATTCTACTTCAGATTGGTGTTACATACTACATATATCTGTCAACATAAGTAGCATACACTACACTGACTGTTGAATTGACTGAAGTAACATTCTCTTCAAAACAAACAATCTACCACAAAATTCTAAGTGACGAAATGTCTTATAAAACGAAACTACTCATTACGTGATTGCCATTTAATTACAAATTACTCTACTAGAGTAGTATGGTCAAGTTATTCATCAGATAAATGACAGGTCAATAATACAAATAAGTGTCAGATGGGAACCAATGGTTGCTCAGTTCTCTCGTCATGATACTACATACTCGATTACTATAGCGTTATGTCTTTTGCCCTCGTCAATTATCACGTGACAGAATCGCCGATCAGAATACCGAGTTATATGACCTTGTTCCTATGCTAAACCAATGACACGTCAATCAGTAATAGCTACCTTGCGTCAACTCAGAATCCGTATTGTTCCTTCTCGCCTGGCCCTGCCCGTTTAATCCAGAACACGATCTCAGCCTCTACTGTATGAATAATATATTTCAGATTATGTAGCTAATATACAAGCAATCCAGACTGCATCATACCATAAAATAAAAAATAATAATTATACAAGATCAATCCGAAAGTGGCTGTGAATGTGAGAGACTGTAACTAATAAATAAGGAATAGCTTGAAAATAATAAATTGTATACTAGTAGTCAATAGGTCAAATGAAGGTTAACGATAAAAGGAATATGAATATATATAAATAACAGTCCATAAATTGTTCCGGGGAGTTACCCATAATTTAATCTTCAGACATAACAATAGTGCATCAGGTATGTGCAACGTGGATGGTAACGTTGACTCTAATGTGAACTTTTGTGTGTAGGGAAAAACAAGTTCAGTGATCGTTATAAATTTTATCTACACTTGATTATATAAGTCAAAAGACTGTTTCATAAAGACACTTCAACGATGACAACCGCATATAAGTGAAAATTAAAAAAATTGAACTTCTGAAGAGAGATTTACTGATTGTCAAGAAGCTACACCAATCTAAGGGTACATTTCATTTCACACAATGTTCTTATTGAAACACTAATTCGTGCAAAACAGATACACTATCCAATATTGACTTTTTATCAACTTCAACCATAGAGTGCAAGTGGCTGTCGATGATGCGAGTCTGTACAGAACTATAATTTCTTATGAATTATTTCTCTAAACTTTCATAGTTCTTAGTCTTGACTATTGCAGTTTCATTTCCATTGAACCAAATGTAAAGCGTTCTCAAATCATTCAGAAGTGTGAATAAACGATGATTCCACATTCAAAGTGCGAATAAAAGATATTTACCTTTTATCTTGATGAATATTTCTCTCTTATATTATTGTGACCTGCTCATAATCTATTCTAACAGTATAGTTATCACTCTGAAGAATTTTACTCACGTACAAAACTAACACAAAAATTATTATGCATTTGACCTTATAGTCACTACAATGAACAATAATTTACCGTGAATCAATACAATATGTGGTTTAATCATGAATTTTTGTACTAAAGTGTAATAAAATAGAGAGATAGCACAGTAAATAGAGTTTTCGTCTATTAACCACTAGGTTGCTACTCTAATCTACCTATTTCAGCTTTGGAAACTTGATAATCTCCATAGAGTTTGCACTTAAACTATAGTCGCAAAGCCTGATACACGATTTTGTATTGATTATATGAGCAACATCCAAATATGTAACAGAAAGAAAACTATACTAATAGTAGTAGAAATTAACTAGTTAATGACTAAAGAAACACATAACAGAAATTTCAATAGTTGAAATTATGAGTCAATTGAAGCTAGACCACCATGGAAAACCTGGAAACACTAAAAATCTCCACAAAACCCCTTCTAATAATAATCATCTGCTCACTAGTAACTGACGTTAAGAAGCATTTCCTGGAGTTATAGTGAGAAGCTGTGACTAGTGGAGTTCAACCAGGTCTGTTGTGAGATATCAGCTCACTGAAGACAATGGTGTACGGTGGCTCAATTTCGTGGATTGGTTGAAGTTAGACATTAACACTGTTGGATGCCGGTTCAGTGGCCTAATTGTTAGGCGCGCGCGCGAGTGATAAGTCCTGGGTCCAAATCCGGCGGGGGACGGGATCGTGGATGCGCACTGCTGAGGAGTCCCATACTGGGACGAAACAATGGTCCAGTGCTTCCAGGTTTTCCATGGTTATCTAGCTTCAATTGAATCATGATTTCAACTATTGAAATTGCTAAAGATCTCCACGAAACCCCTTCTGAACATAACAGAAATGTCAAAAAATTGCATCCGTGTTACAGACTGACCAAAATCTAAGTCATCGCTACTGATTATTTTAGAAAACAATATCAAATCTCCAAGTTAGTATATTGACTATTTTTTATATTCAATTAAGAAAATCTACAGTTCACGTGATAGTTAAGAAAGAGTTACTGATTTTTTCTACAAGTTGATTTCTCACCTTCATAGGATAGGTGTTACAGTCTTCACTGTCTAGTATATCTTAAACACAACAAATCTACCAAAATCAGAATCAATATTGGTTAGGAACATATATCTCAATAAAGTCGAGTAACGGAATATAGCGTTGCTATGACGCACGATGTCCACCTGAGCTAGAAATCTTCTCCATCTCAACACCGGATACTGATACGTACTTCCTATACGAAAATTGTCAACTGGTTACTCAATGGGGAGACTCAGAGTGAGAACTTATTGGGCTAATCCGGTTCACATGCATGAACACTCATTTATATATTATTGATCACATACATCTGTCATTAGCAGAGTTGTCTTCTCATTTAGTCACTTTTGATTGGGCCCTTTGTGTTAATAGTATTATAGAGTTTATGAAAGAAGCTTATAGTATATTACCGATATATATATATTAGCACTGATTTGGTGGAAATGGATAAATTAGTGTAATCCGCTTTGACCCTGACCCAATAGTCAGAATTCTGTTTCACTTTCTTTATCAGTAAACTTATTAATAAAGTGTTTGTAGGACATGGTGAGGTTATTTAGTTATATTCCTACAAACTTAAGATCAGAAAACTGATAATATGCTCTAAACAATGAATGAACTTAAATATTATTCAACTATTTTCACCACTTCTGTAGCTAATTACTTTTAATTCAGAAGAACTCTCAATTGATTGGTTGCAAACTGGCTTCAAATTTATGCAGTTATTTTGAGAACCATTCAAACTAGTCTGTATGTACTATACTCTTTCACATTTCCTATCTAGAAATCTATGGATAAGTTTAAAATAACTGTGGTAGAATTAAGATATAGGGCGAGCTGATCAGGATCGACAACGTGACTTTTAAGATTTTACGTTGAATTCAAATGTCACGTATGGAGGACAGTAAAAATACCTTTTAATGACAAAAAAATTCCTAGCCACCATAGGATAAAAAATGATAGTGTTGAATACATCAAATGCCCAACTATATCTCTCTAAATTGTCTATAACGGCCAAATCAACACTATCTCTACATCCGGTTGCGCATCAGTGCTTGAAGTCACTAACTTCTAGTCTGAGCCATGTTGGTAGATGCAGACTACTTGGTTGGGGTCAGCGTGACTATCGTAACCAATGGTTGGAGACTCTTGGTGACATGGCTCAGAATCGATCACAATGGTGTAGGTGTATACACTACTTGTCTTCCCTTAACCTATGAGATTCAAATCCCTTCATATTTTTCATTCCATCAACTAATTCTTTCTTCCTGTACTATATCCTTATTGCAATCTTTCTTCTATATATTACCACCACTGAATTAACTACTTTTATGAATCCGGTGTCCATCTTGTTGTGTTAATGAGGTATGGCAACTTGGACCGATGCATATATGTGCCTGGTGCTATGTTGTAGCTCACTGACTCTTAATCATGAAACAAACCTTAACTTAGTAGCATTACATTTTATGAACGAACTAATCAAACAGGATCTCACAGATTTTTGAACGAAATCCATTTACCCGACTCCCCACAGAACATTTCTTTTATTGTAGCTAATAATGTTAATTTGTAATGAAGATCTTAACACCTAAACAGTTAATTGTAATCTTCAGTCAGTCAGCTACAACGTAAGACCAGGCACATATATGCATCGGTCCTACTTGCCATACCTCATTAACACAACAAGATGGACACCGGATTCATAAAAGTAGTTAATTCAGAGATGGTAATATACAAAAGAAAGATTGCAATAATTGTAATCTTAACTAAGAACAAATATGAGAACTGTTAAGATATTCAACATAAAGGATAATGTATATTCCATTTATTTGCAAAGAGATTCATGATGTGAAATCTGTTTAGATTTTTATAATATTATTGTTTTTCTTTCCAATAAAACAAAGAGTGATTGTTTTTGTTTTTGATTGACTAAAGAAACTATAAACTACTCTTACCACCGACTTATGCATTACATCATAGAGGAATATTGGGCATTCATCAATACAACACATAATATATGTGTAATGAGAACCAAAAGTAAACAAACAAACAAACAAACTACATATATAGAAAATTGTATAAAAACAAATTGATGCATTTCATATAAATAGTAGTATAGAAAACAAAAGGCACTAAAGTAATACATTGGCAGAGATTACAATCATATTAGTAAAGATAGATAGATAGAGAGAGAATAGAAACTAATATTAGTCGTTGACAAACTATATAGTCTAGCCTTGTTATAGATAAAACAAATCAGCATATATCTAGATAGATAGATGGATAGAAAGACAAAATAGTTTTCATATAGAGAAAACAAAAGTAACAAGAAAATCACATACAGAGTAAAAGTCATGGTTATTTTGTTGAGAACAAAAAAAACACACAACAAAGAATGAAGATTATACAGAAATAATACAATTGGCAAGATTCATTTACTGCAATGTCGTTATTATCACCGGATGACCACCAATGATAAGTGTGTATAGATGGTTGTTTTTCAGGCACTATTTTATTTGTTGTATATGTGAAGATTCATCTATTGATACAGTTAATTGCCTTGGTAAATAATGTTAAAATAGGTGTGTGTGTGTGTATGGAATCAAACCTCTAACTTTTTATACTCAATTGAGTAATTGAAAATTAATCCCTGTTTAGTTATTATTCAACGTAATGTTTAACAAAATGGGATTACAATGAAAAACAAAATAGTTGTAACCATTTCTCAATATATATATATATATCCTTCTTATAGGCAGGAATGATGAGCAATCAGAGGAATGTGTTTCTTCTCGATAGAAAGAAAACGATGGTGGTATACAGTGTGAAACGAGCAAGTGAATTGAAGTTATCAAATAATAATCCGAGAAGAAAAAAAGAATATAACAGGTATGTTGTGCTTTACGCTTCACTTTTTTTTGTCTTCCAGTTTTTTTTATCAACTTTCACATACTACTTACTCAAGATATTCGTTTCATATCAATGATAGAATGAACTATGACAATGATCAATGAAGAGAATGAAACAACAACAATAACAAAATATCACCAACTGGAAGGAATGTGCCAAAAAGATTTTTTTTTCTTAAAAAAAAAGAGTACTGAACAAGCAAGCAAGTGCGCACAAGGGGGAGAGAGAGAACACTCCCCCTCCCAGATGGAATATCAATTAAAATCAGTAAGACATTCAAAGTAATCAAAGAGAAAAAAATAGGAAGTGGGGGTGGGGAAGATAGCAACAAAAATATAGACACATATATTATATCATTAGAAAATAACTTGGAAAAAGTACATAATATTTGTATATATATAAAATAAAGTATTCATGATTATGATTATTTTGAAATATCGTTGTAATTATTCTACGGTATTCAATTAATTAATTAATTAATAAACATCTATCTATCATTGATATTATAAACAATTAAGAAAATTTCTATATTTTTTTAAAAAAAAATATAATAAAATATCAAAGTGAATAGAGTAAAGAATAATAAAAGAAATTAACGTTGTGATAGAATGGTTCTTTTTACTTTTTCTTCTCCTATAATCAATAAATCGATTGATTGATTGATTGATTGAAAATATTAACCTGTACGCATTGTTCGACCCCTGAGAGAGAGAGAGAGAAAGAAAGAAGGAAGTTGAATGTGAGTTCATCATTAGAAATTATACATATATGTATACATCATATGGTATTGTTTGTTTGAATGTTCCGATTGATGTTAAGGACTGCAATTGATCAGTCTCTTATTGGCATATATGCATATTGTCTCATTATTCCTTGTGAATTAAGGCTATATCAAGGCAATATGCACACTATGCACATATACCAATAAGAGAATGATCAATGGGTAGATTTAAACGAACAATACAAAAATGAACGATATTATTCTTATTATGTAATAAGATAGTATCGAGAAATAAACATTCATAGTATATGTATATATATCAATGAAGGTTTGAGTTCCCCTTTATTAGTCAGTCTTTATTGATAATATACGCACATTCTGAGCGGACTGCCTAGATATTGACATTTATGCATAAGTTGAATATTGGTTGATAGTGAAATTCAACGCTCATAGTTCATCTTATATAGAACACGTCAGATGAGTGTATTTGCATTTTAGTGCTGATATCTACACTGGACCTACTTGTTTTTGTTTCAAAAAAGGGTAAAAAAACTCTTACAAATGAAATTTATACCTGTTATATAAAACAATGACTACTAACTGGACTTAATAGCTCAATGGATAGTGCATTGACATTAGAAGTAAGACGAAATGTACACAAAAACTTGGATATGGCATGTATATCCAGCTGACAAGTCTCAGCTAGATCTAAACGCGAGTTCTGAACTGCAATGTTAACCACTATACAAATTTAAGAAAAATATACATATACAAGGAAAAATATGATAACTATTCTACCCGTCATTCACCATCACAACTAACTAACCCTAGAAATTGGATGTTCAGAATGCTTAGATTAGGCATAGAAATATATTTTGTTGAACTAATTAACTATATCGCATCAGAACAATTAAATCAAGAATTCTCTTAACAATTATTATGCATACCACTTCAGTGTTAATCAATAAACACTAATAATAGTAATAATGGTAATAATAACAATAATCATAATAATAATAATTGGTTGCTTAATTGATAAATACACGCATAAATGGTGAATTCCTTCAGTATTAAACAGTCAAATTAAGTACATTTCAAAGTTTTCTAGCATTTAACTACTAACCAGCTATTCCAATATTTTATGCTTAAATTTAAATCAAAATGAAACTTAGCACAAAAAATGAAGTTACTCAGGTGATTGGAAGCAGCCTGTAACAAAAAACCTGGTTTTGTACTAGTTCAGACTCATCACACTAAAACGTGTCTGTAGGTTTGACAGATTTTATGCTTCCTATAGGGTCCGAACTTTTACCACCCAGATTCATAATCTCGAGAGTTATAACTAAGCTATTCCGGTTGTGACTGACCTCCTTTAGGACTAAGGTACTTACAATCTATTGATCACTCTGAGTATTGACAAACCTAACACTTGTTTACTATTTTAGTGCTGCTCAAATCCTATAGATCAAGTACTCAGGAATGACCTTGATGTTGAATAGTGTGAAAAACTATTAAAAAGATATGAAATATTGCTGGATAACTGTTTTGTTTTTAAATTACATACAATTAAACAATATGTGAAACCTAGATGAGAGCATATAATGCAAAACCTTTTATGTTTTTATTCAAAGCATACAAAAACCGACCAGTCACTTGATCACAATTGAATATGATCTCATTCAATTCATTGTGTAAACACATACGTAAACAATTCATAGTCTAGCACAAATATATAAATATTGAAGCTTAAGAAGTCACCACATCACATCAACACAGAAAGAGATGAATCAGAAAAAGGAAAACTATAAAAAAGCGGAAAACTAATATCAGTACAGTGATGATGGATCCATATTGCACAAAACCTTCAAATATTGAGTAAGGGTTACTTCAGAACTCCGTAGAACCAAGAAACTTGAACATTTACTTACACAGTATTCGCACTAACGGTCAATTGCTTCATGGTCCAATCCTATGTCTGAGCCTAGTGGTCATGCTAATCCTTTAGTCCTGACTCTCCCTACCTCCTTGTCTTATATCCTAAGAAGTATAGACAACTGAGTTATAAATGATTAAGTATATAGAATTTCTCAAACTACTCAGTAAATAAAGTAACTATGTGTGACGTAACGTATTTGTTTGCCAAATATAAGTGTTTATGTGGTTGATATTAAGCTACGATGCTTGTACAAGGGCTATTCGACATTGGAATCGACTATCAAAATCAAATGAGTTCGAAGCTTTGAACACCTATTGGCGTTTAAAGTCAAATACTTCAACCATAACTACACCACTGAGCTACTACTAATCGATGAAGAGTCACAACCTCATTCATAGAGACATCTTTGTTAGTATTTTAGAGACCTAACAAAAACAAAAAACTGATCTAGCACTTAAACAAACACATAGACACAAACAAAGACAAAAAAACATAATAACATACATATTATCACTTTGTATACCACCAATTTTGTTCACTGATGGTGAAATAGGCGTGGGTTCACCAGAAGCAGTCGTAATATTGGTATTAATCACAGTATTTGTTGGATGTTCAATATGGGCACGATTGAGTACTTTTAAGAATTCCACTGTTTTAGCACGCATACGCATTTGCATATAAGCTTTGGAACATTTAATATGGTAGTGTAAATAGTTTCTTAGTGTTTGTATTAAATCGATGGTAGTATTACGCGCAGATTCAGTGGATAAATGACGCGGAAAAAGCACTAGGATTTAGAAATACATATATATAACAGGAAAAGCAAAACTAATGACTATTATCAATATCAAAAATATAGAGAGGAATCACAAAATGGATGCTTTCCCAATTCATGTATACCAGTAAGTATATTACAACAAGCGGCACCTTAGTAATTTACAAACACAAGCTTTCAAAGTTGAGTCATTCACCGATTTTATGACAATCTGAAAAGCTGAATAGTATTTGTAGCCCTAAAAGCTCCAATGTATAAACCTATACTTGACTAATGAAAATGATGCAAACGGCCAGGAATGCATCTATCGGTAAATAATATTTTAAAAAATCACATGATAAGTATGCTTTTTCATTTTGAAAACTACATAAAAATATTATTGAAACCATGAAACGATCTAAGTCAGACAATCATCGAAAACTTGGGGTCACTTTACGGCCATTTCGTCTTAGTATACGAGACTTGAGCAGTGCGTATCCAAAACCTCAAAACTGGGAATCGAACCTGGGACTTTCGGTATTGCACAAGAACACCTCACCTCTAGACCACTAAGCACAAGGATTCAATGACATAAGTCCAAATTCAATCGATTGACGATGTCGCGCGACCGTCTTTCATCGTCTTCATTAGCTACCTTCCTTACACCCGATACGGTTGAACTAGACTGGAGTCAGTAGTAAGCAAATGATAACTTTCAGTATGAGGTTTTGGAGAATGTTCAGTCTTACTGAACTCAGAAACCGATACAAAGAGGAGTCCTACACTAGAACGGAACAGTTGTCCAGTACTTCCAAGTTCTCAATGGTTATATAGCTTAGGTCGGTTCGTGATTTCATTAAAATTCAACAATCTCCACAACTATATACTGACAATATGTACTTTTTTATTTTAAAAATGAACTCGATATTTTTACTGACTGTTGAGAGCTCCCCAAAATTCCTTAAAAGTTGGAAAAAGGCTGAAAACATTTCGTCCAATTAGCGCCTAACAAACATTTCTTAAAGTTCTTGATTGATTAATAGCTGCCTTTGTTACCAAATCTAGAATGTCTCCTGAAGCTTCTAGACTATCACGCCCGACCAAAACCTAAATCAGCCTTCGGTGTAAAACTTTTTCATAATTCCCGGCCTTTAATCTTTAGTTCGGATTTCGAATATAAGAGATACTACGGAATTGGTGAATGGTTAATAAGTCAGTATCAAGTCTTTAAATATTAGAAGTATCATTAACATAAATACTCTTTATATGATGTTTCATATTTTTGTAAAACATGAGCTACTAAATGTTCATTCTAGGGTGTACACACCTTCATAGTACTAGTGATTTTTGCGGTAGACTATCTGTAACTCATAGGTATCCATATCAAGGTTGAACCTGATAGTTTCAAATAAATTGATCATTGGGTATGAAGTTATTGATAAATATATTTCTGTTATGTCACAATAAGTAGAAAAATTATATATCCGACGTTTTGTGACTTAATGTAAACCACTTCTTCAGAGTAAATAAATAACCAACATTCAGAGAACTATACTGGGAAGAAAAAAAGGTGTCCAGTGCTTCCAGGTTTTCAATAGTGGTGTCTAACTTAGGTCAGTTTGTGATTTCATTTGAGATTCAATAATCGTCACAACCCCATATTGAAAATACAATTCTCATGCATATATACATATATAAATGTGTATTGAAAGACAGAAAATGTACTATTCACTAGTTTCCAACCAGAATCAATTTCGATCTCTAAAAAAATAGTTGTACCTATGAAATGATAATAATATTTATAGTGAATATTACCTTGAAAAAAAATACTTACACACTATGAATTGTTACTAAATTATTGATTTGTAATTAATTCATTTATTAATTATGCACACATAAACAAGATAATACACGTTCAGTATGTACAAATTGTAAAAGGTATAGTTTGATGGTGAACCACTACTACTACTACTAATTATTATTATTACTATTACTACCATCATCATCATCATCATAAAATTTCATTCAGTTAGTTATAAGAAACGTAGAACCTGATACATAATTACACTGGTTCAAGTTTACGCACCATATTAGCACACAAAGAGATAAAATCATTTCAAGACAAATGGATGTAATAGAAGTAGGAACAGTATTATTAATAGTAGAAAATATTAGGTATAGACAGTTTGACTCGAGATGAAACAATGAATTTTAGGAATAAAAGTTGTGAGGTTGTTTTTAAACTTATGATCAAAGAGAAGAGTGAATGTATCATTGAACTGTTGTGAATGAGTCTGAACTATGTCACTTAACCTCTTTAACTATTGGTTACTATAATCCCGAAGACACTAACCAGGTACTTTGCAACTAATAACATCCCTTAGTCTAACAGCCAATAATATCGTGGACCAATAACATGTCTCGGTTTGCTAGCCCTAAGCTTTTCTCACAGCCTACTCTTTCCTATACCAGTCAACATAGGATTACAACTAGACTATGAACGTAGAAGACAAATAACCTGACCGACTTACCAAAAGTAATGTACGCAACTGAGTCACTGATAACTGCATCAGTTCCCTGTAATTCTTTTGGTGGAACGCGATGAGAATACAATACTTGAGGTGCTCGATCAAGACGTCTTCTTACCTCAGTGAACTCCTGTGATGTACATATTTGAATATAAAAATCCAAACAGTTTAAAAAGCATCCCAATACATAATTCATAAACTGAAGTCAAAAAAGGTCATCTAAGTTTAATTATAAATAGATTGTTACTAGAAATTACCGCCATTTTAATGTTATGTATTGAACCTATTGTATTTCTGGTCAGTAGCTTCAGAAATGGGTCATGATACTAGGTACAGATGTATGATTGGTCAGAATTTGGAAAACTATCCTCATTTATTTATCCTTAAAGACATAATTAGGTAATTAAAATAACACATCGTGTCACTAAATAAAAATAAAGAGAATTCGCAAAGAAAAATTTTTTTCGACGAAAACGGTATGTCCAACCTTCCTTTGCCCTAATTCCCTTCTGCAGTATGTCTTAGTTGCTTTTCAAAAAATGAGTGTTTTGTAATTTTAAACCATAATTAGTTATTATTATCCTTTTCTGCCTTCCTATAGGCATATATTTAGGCATGCCTGTTATCGCTTGTGGAGGAGTATAGGTCTCCCACCATCACTCTCCATTGAACTGTGTTCTGGGCAGATCTTTTCAGATGCTATTCATTTTTTTATGTCTGCTTCCAATTTTCGATGCAGTGTGTTCCTTGGTCTTCCTCTTTTCCTTTTCCTTCAGGATTCCAAGTTAGCGCTTGCCTCATGAGGCAGTTTGGTGATTTCTGTAATGTATATCCTATCTACCTCCAGCGTCTTAATTTCCTCTTCAGCTGAAAACCGGTTTGTTCTACCCCACAGTAGGCTGTTGCTGATGGTGTATTCGGCCAACAGACATTGAGTACCTTTCGTAGATAATTGTTCAGACACATATTTACTATACAACTATAAATACGAATATATAACTTAAGTAAATAATTTCGTTGAAAACTTTCTTCGCTGAATTCCATTTATATAGCTAAATGACATAGCTAACACTGATAGCAATGATTCGGTTATATTTAATCTCTACCTTTCTCTGAATTCGCAGCTTAGTATAAATTACCTCATACTTTTAATTGTCTAGTCTCATGTCACATTTAAACTAAGGTTTTTATCCTTCACTTTTCAATGTAGTTGAGATAGTATTTACCTTCATACACTAATCTAGTAAATTCCTTTATTCCATAAGTCTAGAACAATACTTACCAATTAGATCCCATCTACCAAATACTATTACCACTACTTATAACCAATATTACTAAGAATAAATTTGTTGGTGAAATTTTATTTTTAAAAGCTACTACTCCCCAACATTTTAGTACAAAGTAAAACTAATGAACTGAGAAGAAAAAAATAAATACCAAACAGATTTACACATACTTGCATAAAAACTTTTCCAATTAACAAATCGTCTGGATCTTTAAATGTTGTACTAAAGATAACTGTAACTCGATCAGCTAATGCTTGTACATACCTATTGAGAAAAAGATGAACAATAAATAAATAAAACATGTAACTTTAGTGCATATAACTGTGTTACACGGAAAAATAGGGGTGGCTAGATTTATGGTTGAAAAGACTAGGATTATAACCAGTAGGTTACATGTTTAAACGGTAAGATTCACCCTCTTTTTTTACTTTGGAAAGCTGTCTAGTGTCACTAGCCCTCACATATCCAAGCACAAGTATAACAACTTACACAAGAGTACGGAGTGTCAGGTCAACGAATTTAAGCTAAACACGATAATAACGAAATTTTTTGCTACAAAACAATAAAAGGCTTTGATTATCATAAGCAATTAAGAAAAACACTAGACATACTACCCACTCCCTTAGTTAACAGAAACAGACACATCCAATAGAATAACTTACATTGTCTCATCGTCTCTATAATGTATCACCGCCCTCTTAGAACCCGAATCCACGTTAGATTTAATTTGATATTCGAAAAACTTCTCAAAAACAGCTGCCATACAATTTCTTTTTAAAAGACCACATTTATGAGCTAACTGATTATGATCTGGAGGTAGTTTTTCCAAATCTATGCATAAGGTTACACTCTGATTGGGCTCTGCTGAAGAGAGAAAATCACCATACTCACGAACCAATACCTTGAGAAAAAACGGTTAAGATTGAAACAAAGCATACCATTACTTGTTATAAGACCGACAAATGCTATGCCGAAAATATATAACCTACAAAGGGCTATAATAAATGATGACGATGACGACAGAGGTCTATAAAATGACTAGAAAATACTTATGTATTAAGAATCACAAGTGTATTTGGTGCCTCCTTGTACCAATATCTATATGTTAAAATAATAATAATAATAATAAAGAAACAGAGAGGTGTAAACAGTGATCTGAAGTGCTGTATTAAGGTCACCGTTTTTTATTTTTAAAAGGAAACGAGAAAGAATAGGGTGAAAGGTAAATCAAACAAATTTCATACCATTGAAAATTTGTTCCCGAAGACTCCATGACACTTCAGCTTACAATGCGCATGTTTCAATCTACCGAAGGGTTTCTTTATGCCACTACTCTGTAGTCTTAGTTGGAATTCGCTGCCGGCCGAGCTAGTCCAAGCGACTTCTCAGGAGTCCTTCAAGAGGCAACTTGACCTATTCTTAAGGACCAAGGACAGCACCACACTATGATTTACCAATTTCTTTTCCTCTTTCGTTGTTAACATACCTAGGTTCCTGCCTGGAGGATTTGGTGATCCCCTGCTACTAGACACGGAAGCCTGTTAAGTGAAAGCTTCTTCTATTCCGTCCACAACCATTTGAACCATTTTAAACGTAAAATGTTCAGACCACTACGTTGCCTAAGAAAATTCATGACTTTCAAACGTTTGGTAAACTGCAGCTAGACAAAAAGGCAATCGACCATTTAAAATCTGCCTTCCTGCAACCAATATAACAAAGTTGAAGGTGACAAGTCACTAACTAATCCTACTATTAAGGTAAAGTACGTGTAACGTTCTTACAGAAAGTGTCAGATAAATTGTGTAACCTCCTTGGTAAGCTATTATTAAAATCTTAAAGAAATGTCAGATAGATATTATCGGTGGAAACTGATTTCAAAGGGATATCCAGCATAACTTCGTATCACTAAACGACCACGAGACCATTCATCCGACATGACGAAAAAATACTTTTATTACCGGAATAAGTGGCAAACATATGAAATCAAAGGCAGAAAAATGTATCGCAAAAGTCGATCTCTTAACGAACATTAACAAATCAAGAATGCATAAAAATAAGTCATTTTGAACTTATAAACATATAATGCATAGTTTTCAAGTAAGTTACTTACTTCATTTACTCCATGTTCGTTCAACTCATGGAAGAATTTAATGAATATACTGACAAGTATCTTTTTCTTATCATTATTTGGATTACTTATGGTGTAAACAATACTATCAAAGTCAGCAACGGTGTAATCAATCTTATCATATCTGGATCTAAACGTGTAAAAGCTTTAAGTTAACTGTGATTTTACTCCTCCTTTGCCTGTTCAAATCTGGTGACTAGAATTTCTTCTACAGCTCGGTTACAAACTTCCAAAATGATCATCGGTAGCGATTACTATAAAAATCCCGCACAGTTTTTACGTAAAATAATTTAAATAGTTCCAATTGTACTTGGGTGGAACAAAAGATAGGCTGTTGTTTTTTCCGTACTGATACATATCTCAAACCAATTTTACTTCCTGAATATCTAATATTTTTATATGAGCTAGTAAAGTAATGAGTATCTTTGCCTTCTAGTTTATATGCTTCAAATGTTGTGCCTCAGAGCTAATTTTTCTATATATGATTCAAGTTCAGAAGAAAAGATATTCAAATCCTTTCGACAATTCCTTAGGAGAATGAATCGTCAGACTAATTAGATAGTAACTTGTTCGAGTACTCTGTACTACTAGTCCTCATAAGGTGTTAATTCGTGTTCAGAATAAGCTGAAAAAATCCTTCTCTAGCCACCATACAACCTCAAGATCTTCTGCTGTGAGTGTGACAGAGGTGCGGTTTTCATGATATTTTTATTATCTCATTTCTTTGCGTAAGTATGAGGTGAAAGTAGAAACGTTTCACTTATTTCACATTTGCTGACATTTTTGAGTACACACTGAAGGTAAGTCCCCCACTTTACAGTCCGTTATCATCAAATAAGTCCCATGCCAGTTTGCACTAACATCGTGTTACGTCATCGGACGATATGCCCAAGCGACATTTTAAACTAGAACTTAGAAGTTATCCGTTAGAAAAGGGAAGGAAGAATACAGTCTGAGACGTCTCAATCAGATCCCGATAGGAACCGTAGTATCGGTTATTATGTCAGGCCCACATACCTTATTCTGCCTTTCGGACAGGCCAATCTACTCATTCTACTTGAGTCATATTGTGATCTTGTTCATTATTCGCTTATCAATTTTGACTATTTTTATATGAACGTATGAGTTTTAGTGGCCCATGGATCTGACTCCTAGATCGTACGAATGATTGTTATCGCCTTTTCTGGTATATCATCGTCGACTTAAATCGCGTTAGTTAATAACGGAATTAAATAAGTCAAATAACGAGAATTGATTTGTGAATACAAATATTTTGTACATGAAGCGAATGAAACATAGCAAAGCAAAATGACACGTATGGAAGATGGCTGGGAAGCCAACTCCATCTTTGTCCAGCGTTACTCAATATTTGTAGTTAGACAAAATAAAGCTACAGACATGTGATTAATGGGATAAGAAGGGGACACACATATACGCTCATATAAAAACAGTCTAGATTGATAAGCGAATAAATAACAAGGTCAAAGTATGGCTCAAGTAGAATGAATAGAATGGGATGTCCGAAAGCTAGAATAAGGTATATGGGCTCAACATAGTAACTGACATTACAGGGTGTGCACTTATCCCATTCACCACATATCTTGAACCTATTTTTATGTAACCATATATATTGATTGACGCTTAATTAAATGGGAGTTGGCTACCCGCCATCTCCACTGCGCGTCGTTTCGCTTCGCTCTATTCCATCTGCTTCATATACAATATATATATATATATTCAAAAGTTCATTCTCGTTATTTGACTCATTTGATTCCGTTATTACTACTACTACTTAATACTTACGCCTGTTACTTCTGATGGAGCATAGACCGTCGACCAGCATTCTCCAACCCACTCTGTCTTGGGCCTTCTTTTCTAGTTCCATCCAATTCTTGTTCACTTTTCTCATGCCTATTACCATTTCTCGGAGTAATGTGTTATTTGGTCTTCATCTCCTCCTTTGGCCTTGATGATTCCATATGAGGGCTTGCCTTGTGATAAAGTTCCGTGCTTTCCTCAATGTGTGTCCTATCCATTTCCAGCAATTCTTCCTGATTTCTTCATCCACTGGGATCTGGTTTGTTCTCTCCTACAATAGGTTCTTGTTAATAGTGTCTGACCAAAGGATCCGAAGTATTTTGTGTAGACAACTGTTAATAAATACTTGTATCTTCTGGTGGATGGATTTCGTAGTTCTTCAGGTTCTCGCCCCATACAGCAGAACTGTCTTGACATTTGTATTGAAAACCCTGACCTTGGTGTTGGTTAACAGACAGTCGTTTTGAGTCGCAGATGTTCTTCAGTTGTAAATATGCTGCTCTTGCTCTGTCGATTGAATTATGTCCTCTTATATTTTAAGGACACCTAGACCAAACACTCTGACTGACGCTAATACTCATCGGACTCTCCGTGACTCTTCTAGGTCTAAACTCCACTTTGCTCGTATCCATGATGAATTTTCGTGAACTGCTTTTAAAGGTTACGGAACTTGTTAGTTGGTATATTGTGAGAACTGATTAAGTTTCTTGAGTGAATATCGGGTTTTTTACTGGGGTTTCCTTTCATTACGGTGATATCTCACACAGACTTTTCCAAGCGAGTTCGATAAATTGTCCTGTTGTGACACATCTAACTCGTGAGAAATACGGATACCAATTAACCATTTATAATTACTCAGATTCAACTGCTGGATAATAAATAAACCTGTAGCGTGCCAAATGAATCAGAAGGCGTAGGCTGATCGTAACCAAAGAAACCCATAAAATCTCCGAGAAGCCGAATACCAGAAGGCAATTAATGGACCAAGTCGAGGTTTATTAGCTGGCGATCTCGTGGCATCGAAAGGATACCGAGATCGTACCAGGATACAAGCTTGGTTACGGAACGTAACCGAATTCGCGCGAAGTTACAATCGAAGTGTGAGTATAAGAATGGAAGCACAAAATAGCTGTCATTAGCACAGTCAAACAAAAGCACGTTAAAACAAACACTGGTACAGTTGGTTATAATAATAATTGTTTTTATTAAACCAGTCGTGTTCTCGTGATAAATGTGAGTCACTACAAACCTTCAACGAAATTTTGTAAGTGTAATACAAAATGTATGGTGAATTATGATAATTAGTACGAACTAAGGATTCCATAAATAATGCAATTGCATCAAGAAGTACTAGATAAGTACAAACGAACGTACTGTATTTATAATTCGAAATCAAGCATTCAACAAGTACAAAGGAATCATTAATTCATTCAAACACCACATCTGCCACAGCTTAAATTAGAGTCTAAGTGTCTGTATTCGATTGTACGTCTTCTTAAGTTCATCCTGTGTTTGTCCGACATTTTATTGGATAAAAACTCTGTGTTATTTGGTTCCTTGGATTGTATACAATCGCCATGTCGGTTGTGTACCGAAACCACTATCTAGAATTTAAAGCACAAATTTCCCAACACTATCCTCACACAGGAAATAATGCTGGATCTTCATATTCCCAAGTGATGAATGATGTGGCTTCGTTTAAAACATATTTCTCACATTGACTAGGGTATACATTAGAAGTGACTTTATGAAAAAGATAAACAACAGTTGGTATGAAATCATCCGAATCGTTATCTTAAACCGAGCTCATTTAGTACTTGTGCTTCGCATTGAACAAGTTTCCCACAAGAAACAAATGCATTATGAGGACAAATAATATTTGATATGACACTAAGATTTGATTCTTCTGAAATAGTTCCCTCGAATTTAATAAGAATGTCATTGCAAAGCAGAGGATCATTAGAACAATCAGTATCCATCGAAACTACATCAGGTTTTTGATCATGACTAGGTTCATTCAACATTTTTTCCTCAGATTTGCAAGGAATTTCGTCAGAAATAAGTGAATCATTAGGAAAAACCATATCTGGTACAATAACATGAGAAATCCGATAAGTTGATTGATTAGAATCTGTTGTCTTACAAGGATTCTAAGTTTCACTTAACTCTGAACTGTTATATGACTCTACACTGTCTTTTGAAATCGTTGATAAAGATAAATGATCATTATATATACTCGACTTCATTGAACCAGAATTACAAGACTTAATATTCGTTGCATCAAGATGAACAGTAATATTACAAACTGACTGAATATGTTCAATATCACCACATTTAAAGTATTTAGAATTATGAAATTTACATGAATTAAAAGAGTGTGACCTGCCACTGGACAAACATTGACCAAACTTGTCCCCATCCTCGTGAAATGCATTGCAACTCCTCAATGAATTATCTGCATAACATTGAGTATGCACTGCGCTGGGATGATGTAATGTAGTGGAGTGTTTTATATCCTCATCAATCATTTTACGAAATCTTCCTCCTTTACCACATTCTGAATCTGCATACATAACATAAACTAGCTGTAGATCCTTGAGAGTTGTATAAGGAAGCGTATAGCGACTCACGTGCATTTGAGTTTAGTTCAGTCAAGGTCTTTTGTTGACCTATTTCATGGACAAAGTCATCCATGCTATAACAACTTGTTGTACTGTTATTATTATTGCGCTTGTATGAAATACATATGCTTGAACATTGTTTAGCGCCTACTCATGTATTCATTCTGCTAGCTTCATTATTAACTGCTTAATCTATTCGCTGAATCATCCATTTTCCTATATATATATATATATATATATATATATATATGCATTTGCACCCATTCACTACAACTACTCACTACTGCTACTGTTACAACCGTAGTTCGCTTGCTCATCCATTTTGCCTCTGCTGTCTGGTCCGAATTATGTGCTAAATAAACTGCAGTAGCTGCTTCTTTTTACCTTCTGATTTCAAACATCGTTGAAGATTATACGACAACGGTTCGAGGGTGATTAGTTATCGAAGCACAGCCACTGCAAGCGAAATGGGCTTTTCCGGTATAGCCAGAGTTTTTAATAAGCTATATGCTTTTTTCCCGATGAATGTGAGGAAATTTCATACAATATTAACATCTTCATCATCTTCCTTTGTCATAGGCCGAATTTCGAACCTTGCAAAGTAATCCTCAAACGCATCAAGATCTGAATGTATATCCAACAATTCCATCACAGGCTCCATCGCGACGCCAATATGATGATTAGGAGTATTTGAATTACAGTATGAACTAAGAATCCCAGAAATAACGTATTCGGATCAATAAGTACTAGATAAGCACAGACGAAAGTACTGTATTTAGAATTTGATATCAAGCATTGAACAA